AAAAAAAACAGGCTAGTAGGACAGTTACAATAATTAATACAATACATATTGTTGTCTTCATAGTTATTCATGGTACAAGATGCAGACATGATATCTTGTCTAAATACTTAGTACAAATCTTCTCATTGAGCTAAGAGAAAGTACCTGTATATCCTATTTTGCGGTCCTGAGAATCTCTATCAGGTTTTTGAAACTAGCAGTTAATTGGTTGATTCTCACCCTGACTAACTATATATGCTGATACCTGTGAATTTTTAAAATATTATCCTGTATTTATATTCTTTTTTAAATGTTGCTTCAACAAAGCAGTCAGGCTCTGGTTTCTGTGGTTCGATCCCCACAATTCTAGCCAGCCAAACCTGCCCTGAAGGCATTCGGAGCAAAAAAAAAGAAAAAAAAAATCCTTTTTGAAATGTTTCTGATTTTGCTCCATAAAATATCTGGATCTGAGGAAAACAGATAAATAAGGTGTAGTTCTTATCTCATAGACTCAGAGTTTACATTGTAGGTGGATAAAAAGACAAATAATTAGCATACAGTATAATGGACAACAAAACATACAAAGAGTTATTCTCATGTCAGTAGAATGAAGCATGTAGCTACTGAACAACTCAACAAAAAGGTCAATGCCTGTGTTTTCATGTAGCCCATACTTTGGTAACATTTAAGCTAGTTTTATATCTTATATTTAAGATTTCAAAAACTGAATAAACTTTCCTTCCCTACAGTTTCGGCACATGATGAGCTCTAGCCCTGGTTTGGGTGAAAAGGAAGATAAAACTGGGACAGCACATCTGCCACCTGCTGGGGAGTGCGGAACTGCTGCCGAGACTAAGTTTCACTGACTAATGTTCTTCAGTGTAAACGATCTTAATTATTTAAAATATTTAATGGATGGAACAAATATAAATTATATAAGAAATGACTTGAGTATTTAAAACTTCATTTTGTTCTGACTGCTCTGAACACTGAATTGTCACCAGTTACACTCGGAGGCTGTGCCAGAGAACTCAGTAGACGATAGCCCTCTCTGGTCCTCACAGGTGCTTACCAAACCAACACCTGCCTGTTGTGTCCTAGACTTATGTATATCCAGATTTCCTCATTCATGAAATGTATTCACAATTAAGAGAAACCTATTTTTTTTTCTTCTAAGAAAAAAGATTTGTGGTTATCTCTGAATACTAAGATCAAGGCCAGTTATGCCAGTTATACCATACTCTTTTAAAATGGAAGTAATGTTGTAGTGTAATCACTTATTTATCATAAACCATATGAAATTTTAATCCTGTACTGTATATTATTTTTAGTATTTCTAATTTTATTTCATAAATTATATTCTGAACATATATGTATTATTTTTAAAAGACTGTATAGAAACTAAATTAAAGATGTGAACTATTTTTTCCTGTGTTTAATGATACAGTAGTAGTGAATGCTTAAAACTGTCCAGATATTCTAAAATCACAGGATTTTGGAACTAGGTGAAACTTCAGTTTCATTTGAATCCACCATTAAAAGAGTGTAAAACAAGCTTAGAAATTATGGTTTGAAAATCTCTCCAGAGGATTCTTTTGGTGAGTAAAGTCTCAGAAGCTGCCTTCCGAGATCTCCTCACGTGGAGCCTCGAGTCATCTTGCAGACCCACAGGGTGATAGACACTCTCTGCCTGTCGAGGCTGCTCCATCTCGGGACAGCTCTGCAGCAGCAAGCTGGGGCCTCTGCCCGGAGCCCTTGAGTGCTTTAGAACTAGGCTAATCATTACTCTGGACCCCACAGCACAGCCCAAGGTGTATGTGAAAATTACCTGTTAGTCATCTTTCTCTCAGGAAGAGGCTGCTTCAACAAAGCAGTCAGGCTCAGGTTGCTGTGGGTCCAATCCCCACAACTCAAACCAGCCAAAACCTGCCCTGAAGGCATTCGGAGCCAAAAAAAAAAAAAAAGAAAAAGAAAAAAAAGAAAGAAAGGAAGAGTTTGGGTTGGCTCCTGGTTTCCGAGGTTCGAGGTTCGAGTCTGTGGTGGTTCAGCCACATTGCTGGGGCTTATTATGCCTTGTACCTAGATGTCCCCATAAGCCTCATACCCTCATAGGCGGGGCTTTTCATGGCTGGCTGGATCTGTGGCAGTGGTGGCAAACCTTTTAGAGACCAAGTGGCCAAACTGCAACCCAAAGCCAACTTATATATTAATATTGCAAAGTGCCAATACTGCAGTCAAACCTAAATTCTGAGGTTTTAGTTTAAAAGTGACTCATATGTTAACATCTGTTGTCTTAAAAGAAAAACACAATGACCGCTTTTAATGATAGGAACAGCTTCTTATTGAAAGGTAAAAGCTTGCACTTGGTGGCTTTTGCACAACTAATGTCATCTATGAGGTGTGCACGAGGGGCGTTTGTCCAACGGCTTGTTCTTCGTTAGTTTGAGAGCAGCACTTGCAGCCCTCAGGTCATCTGTTAGTCTGCCTCTTCCAGCAGATTTGACGTAACGCGGAGCTGGAGGTAGCTGCTCACGGTATCAGATGACCCAAACATGACTTTAAAAACAGCAATCCCAGGAGATTTCATGGATTTAAAATTACTTGGCAAAGAAGCCTCACTTTAGGGATTTCATTTTCAGAGCTACCAACTGTGCCGTCCCTTGTCATCCCTTCACACTCTTCTCTGTCTTCTCGGGTTGTGAACACGAGTCATAGAATTTATTTTTCCATGTAGATGTTTCTTGAAAATCCAACAGCTCAATTTCCAGATTTTCAAATCTATCCAGTGTAAGCAGGAAGTTTTTTAAAAATATTTTTATTGAGAACCAAAAAGCAATGAGACACTTTCACAATCGATTACTAGCACAGTTTCAATAATTAATACATTGCATATTGTTGTCTTCATAGTTATTCATTGTACAGTATGCAGACCTGATATCCTGTCTCAAACACTATTAGAACAAACCTCTCTATTCATTGAATTAAGAGAATGGAGCTGTATATCTATCCTAACTATTTTGAGTATACAGATACAAAATGGTCATTCATTTGTATCCCACTTTTTTAGTTTTGTCAGAGAAGGGCATCCCATTGTCATTTAAATACTGTAGGTACATGAATTCAGCAAAACATCCCAATATAGTCCAATAGTCCACAACAATAGTGGGTTTTCCATAAGACTGTCCATGTCCAAAGTTGTTGACTTGAGCCTTTTACAGCTCATCATATTAATATGGCTTTACTTTTTATACTTCATTTTCATAGTCTTCTGCTGGATTGTTAAGACCAAGAAAGAGCAAGACATATATAAAAAGAAATGTAACTTTTGTATCTGACAAGGTCAGTCACATCCCCTCAGGATTTAACCTGAAACCGTGTACCGCAGTTTGTAGATCCTTTGTCAGTGTCAGCCAGTGCTTGACCAATTTGCTCTCTGTGAAAGCTTGAGAGAATGTTTTCTCTCCAAGTGACTCCTTAGGCACTCTCTACATCATCGATCACTTTCCTTTGTGGCCCCATAATCTCCTTGATCAGAAAATTTGGGACACAATTGAGTTACAGGATGTTACAGTATAGGTTCTCCTATTTCCTGAGTCCTTACTGACCTTGAAAGGCTAGGGACAAAATGTTGGCTGCCCTTGTAGCCTTTCTTTTTCTTTAATTTTTGATGTGCAAACTTAAGTTGTTAACCCTCCATAAGAGAAGCTTAATGATATTATTACCCTATAACATAGGCAGTTGAGCTTAACCTCACTATCTGATTTTCAAACATCTTAGACATAAGCAGGAGGCTTTTAAAATTTGGTTTTATCTGGACAAGCAAGAAAACACAGGGTTTCTCCATCATACATAAGTATAAAAAATCTATAACTAAAATTCTCCTCTGCAGCTGCTACAATGCTAGAGAACTCTATCCTGATGCCTTGTAGGATTGTCTGCAAATGTAGAAATTTTCTAAATGCATTTTCACATATGGAAAACATTTCAGCTTCCCACTTTCAAGGACTGGGGCGACTTGGTTCACATATGGACAGAGAGGCCTCAGTGTGCCCACTGTGGCACACATGCCCCAGGTTTACCACCACTGATCTAGGGTGTGTGGTAGTGGGATTAAGGGTGTGGTATTAAATTAGTCCATTACTTGGTGTAGCATATTTCTGGTGTGGCTGGTGGGAAGCACCCCCCCACCCGAGTTTGGGTGGCATCACCCACAAGGCCCAGAGCCTGGCTGAGATAAAAGGGCCAGGCAGGCTTTCTTCACTTCACTGCTTGCTGCCTCCTACCTGCTGTGTTTCTCCTCTACGAAGCCCCTTTGCCAGGCCACCCTACCATGGAGCCTGCCGACTATGGACTGAAACCTCTACAGATGATGAGCCAAAATCAGCTTTGGAAAGGTGACTAAGACAGGCCGACAGCAGCACCACACATCGTGGCAGCAGCGCGTGGCTTCTGGGCAGCACCAGAGGTGGGGGGGGCGGATGCTGGGCTCCCCTCATCCCATGAAGCGCATGCCACAGTTAGCGGACTTCCCTTCACAGGTCCCATTTGCCAGGGGTTCCACCACCCCCTGGTAGGGCTGCAAATAAACAGCCAAGCCTTTAGCATATGGGCCTCTCTGCAGTGTTCAGATCAGACTCCAGCACTACCCCTCTACAGGTACCTCCACTGTTTCCAATAAAGACATTTAACTTTCTTCCTCAGTACTTACCCCAGATGAAACTACATGCTCTGGTTTCATCTAGCTCTGGCAAAACAAGATTCTGCCTGCAGGTCCAGAGGGTCTGATGGGTGCTCTCGAAGATGGAAGCCAGAAAGAGGTTGGCCTAAGGTGACCAGTTCCATGCTGCCCTCCATTTCTCTTCAGAGCAGGGGATAGTGCTGGAGCTGCAGGGCACCCCAGCTCAGGCCAGATGCTGCAGCCAGCTAGCAGGCTGGCCTGAGAAGGCTGCCTTGACCCCTAGGACAGACACCCCACCCCTGCAGACTGGGGTGTGCTATGCTGTGCCAGCCTACATTGTTAGCCTTGTTTTTCACTTCTGTAAGAACCTTTGGCAAGACAGATCAACTGGACACACCCAATTCCTCCTTCCTTCTACCCCCATTACTAACAACTACCATGTCTAAAAGGCTAGGTTGCATATTTTATAGAGTGTAAGCTAATATTGCAGAACAGTGTGAACACCCCCCCTCTTGTATCTTGTAGTTTGAATGACTAAATAAACATGTCATTTTCCAGTGAGTGATAACTTTGAGGTGTAATACTATACAATGAATGTTTACATTTTTTTAAATGTATGATAGCAATGACGCATTGCCATTAATCCCCTCAGAATCCTCCTTCCCTCTGAACACACTTATCTCATGGTTCTTACAACGTTCTGAAGTGGCGTGAAGTGTCTCCAGGGGGTGTGATCAGAGTGCAGAGAAGGCTGCCGTGGGGTGGTGCCAGCAGCGTCGGCCTTGCCCTTCACATCCACCATGCTCACGCATCTGTACCGTGTGGCTTCAGGCCCTTCCACAAAGTCAAAATGATCACAAAAGGCAAGTGTTTTGAAGAGACTCAGGACATAGAGGCAGCTAGCAAGGTGTCACTAAAGACACCTTGTGACGCCAGTCCTTTAGGGGACTTCCAGAAGTGCTTGAAAAGTGTGAAGCATGATGGCATAAGTGTGTTCAAAGTGGAAGAGGGCTGCTTTGAGGGAAAGAAATGTCATTGTGAGTCTTATTGTAATTTTTTAAAATTAAAACATTCACTGTATTTTTTTAAATTAATCTGTTTCAAACTCTATTCCCAGGCTTCTCCAGCTTAATTGGCTGCAAAGAATGAATTGTATGTAAGCAAAAACTGAAAAGAGCTGCAGTGTCCAAGGGGCTTGGGCTTAAAAAAATATTAGAGATCTAGATTTTATCTAGATGAAAAACAATTTTAAAAAGCAATCATAATATAAAATAGCAGCTCCCAGTAACTTCTTCCAAGTTTGATCTTTTTCAGAAGCTGACTTAGTTCAGTTTGCCTCATTCTTAGAAGCCTCATCAAAATTCTCCACGAGATCTGGAACCTCGTCATCCTCCTCCTCTCCAGTAGCAAGCAGTGCTTTTCCATCCACAGATTGTTTGGGCGGAGCTTCAGCCAGTCTCCTTAAGCTAGTCAGACTGTGCGCCAAGCTGGTTCAAGGTGCCCGGTAGCATTTCTGTCATTGTTTCGTCTCAGCATGGTCTGTAAGGGTGAAAGTGTCTGCTGACAGAGATGCCTGAACTTGTGAGTTGTTGAAGTGGATAACTGTTCTGTGGTTTGTAAACATATTCACCTCTTCAATACCAGAGATATTGCTTACCCCTAACTTCTTAATGAGAACTGAAGCTTTTTATCATCTGCTGTGGCTGTTCTATTAGCCACCTTCTTTCTGCAAGCAGTTCCTTTCCCACCAGTGCACACTTGTGCCTGCAGTTTGTTTTTCCTGGCTCATGATAGTTTCTTTCATCTTGTTGGAGCAGATATGGGGCAGCATGGGGGACTAGGGCTGGCACTTAGGGGGTCTCGGGGAGACCAGCTCTTCACTGTATTTTTTATCATCCCTAATGGCTTTCTAAACAAGATATTTCTTTACAGGGACATTCTTTAATGAATTTACTTACTTTGAAATTCTGTTATGTTGAGCTCTCAGCACATGCAACTGCTGTGCAATTCAAAAGACTGCCCTTCTGGGGGACACCTATTTGCACTGTAGGTCTAGTTGGAGCACACAGTAACTGTCAGAGAGAGAGCCTTCCAGTGCTGTAGACAGGATACTGACACAGACCAATACTCTGTTGTATTAAAAAATCTTTTTTTACCCATAGGTTGATGGACATTTGTATTGTTTCCAAGATACTGCTATAAACATGGATACACATAATATCATTGTGGTATAATGCTTTTACTTCTTTTGGGAAAATATCAAGAAATCTCTAGTTTTAGGTTTTGGAGGTTTTGTTTTGTTGGTATTGGGGATTGAAGTCCAGACCTTGCACTTGCCAGGCAAGCACATATGCCACTAAGCTATATATCTCCAGCCCTAGTTTTAGTTCTTCGAGGAATTTCCACAGTGGTTACACCAGCCTGTTGCACTCCCACCAACAGTGAGAAGGGCTCCTTTTCCCCACAGTCCCTCCAGTACTTATTGGTTAGTTTCTTGATGATGGCCATTCTTTCTGGAGTGAGATAAAAGCTCAGCGTTATTTTAATTTGCATCTCTTAAACAATCAGTGATGCTGAACATTTTTTTCATATTTATTTACCATTTCTATTATTCTGAGAAGTGTCTACTCATTTCACATGCCCATTTTTGGAATGGGTCTTTAAATTTAGGGATGGTTGACTTTTTTCAATACTTTATATGTTCTAGATACTAGTCTTTAAAGAACAACTGACTGAGGCTTTTCCCATTTTGTGGGTTATCCTCTCACTTTGTTCATGATTTCTTTTGCTGTGCCTTTTAATAATATTTCCCATGTAAACAGGGTTTATAAAGGCCTTACGTACACTCTGTCTTCATGTTCTACCTATTTATTCTCTCTTACAGCATATTTTTAGTATTTAAATCTTTGATCCATTTCAATTTTAGTTTAGCGCACAGTGAAATAAACAGGCCTAGTTTAAATCTTCAGCATATGGGAAGCCAGCTTTTCCAGTACTATTTATTAAAGAAACTATCTTCCTTCCAATAAATGTGTTCCAATAAACGCTTTGTCAAAGATAAGGTAGGTGGCTGAATGTGTTTGGAGTTGTTTCTGCATCTTCTAATCTGTTCCACTGATCCTCAGAGATTTTTTTTTGCTAATACTGTGCTGTTTTTATCACAGTAGTTTTGTAGTATAATTTCAAGTCAGGGATTGTGTTACCCTCTGCCTTGCCTTTGTTGCCCAGAATTGCCTTTGCTATTCATGGTCTCTTCTGGTTCCAAATGAATTTTAGAAATATTTTTTCTAGACCTGTAAAGTATGCCAGTGGTATTTTGATTGAGATTGCATTAAACCTGTGTAATAATTTTGGGGAGTATGGCCATTTCATTATGTTGATTCTTCCTCTCCAAGAGCAAGAGGTATCTTTCCATTTTCTGATATTCTTTTTGATCTCCTTTTGCAGCATAGTGTTCAATGTAGAGATCTTTTGCCTACTTTTGTTAGACTGATTCCTAAGGACTTTGGGGTTTGGTGCTATTGTGAAAGCAGTGGTTTCACTCACTTCTTTCTCAGTGGAGCAGTTGATTGATTGTGTCAACTGGAGAGGTTAAAAACTCAACTAAATTGCCTCAGCAATTCCACACCCTGGTTCATCGCAGTAGTTAGCTTCCCGCCAGTGAACAAGTGAGACTGTTCAACGAAGGACTGTGTCAGGGCCGAGGTCCCAGAGTCTGAGGTGCTGATGGATCCACACTCAGCAAAGAGAAAGCCTAAGCCATGCCCGCCACGGTTTGCACACTCGTTACTTAACAGACTGAAGGGCTGCACTCACTTCCAAGGAACCAAGTGGTTGGTTATTTTAAATCTCACCTTCGGCAACAAAGTGAGACCACAGGAAAGTAAAGGTCCAGGGCTTTGAAGGCAAAAACTGAAATCACAGGCAGCTTTGTAACAGAGTGGCTTGGTCAAGTGTGCAAGTCTATCCCTCAGTCACTCTAAAAGACTGAAATGTTTTTGCCAGTGGGACAGCTGTTCTACACTTTGCAGCTTATTAACCCCACTCACTTACCAAATAAAAACTTGCATTTTCTGTGAAATTCTGGAGTAAAGCCTCTTGACCTAGAACTTATAATTTTTAACCTTTGTTGTAAAGAGTTCGGATTTGAAAATTAATCCTGTCTCCGATGAATCTTGCCTGAATTTAAGTTAGCTTCCGTCGTGTGGCTCTGCCAAACACTGCATATGGGTGGCATCTTTCCAGAGGTGATTCTACTGAAGGATTACTCCAATTTTAAAAGAATGACTGAAAAGCAAAACATGATTTGAATGAAGGTTCCAATCAACATCATACTGTATTTAATTTAAAATTGGAGTTGGGGGACTTGGTGCTAGCCTTTTGGGCTAAGATAAATGTGAAGTAAACACAGCTAAGGGCATAGCACAGTAGACCCAAGCATCATCAGACTTTGACTGTTTCTATACACAGGGTCATTAGCCCTCCACTGGCCTGTCTGACGTCTTCCTAGCTCTCTGATGTAGTGTTTTTCTTTCTCTCAGGTCTGCTTTGTACCAGAAAACTTGCTAAAATGTTTCATCTAAATTAAGATCTATGATATAGTAGGTCACCTACCCTGAACAAATTCAGTACATATTTCAGCAATTCAAAAATATTTCAAATTCAGCGACTTATTCACTGTGCTATATGGTTAGTGTTAAGCGTGTGAAACCTAAGGTGATGTCACCTTCCCATCACTGTGGCAGAAGTTTAGGCCTAAACTGTAACATGCCAGCTGTCCTCTTGAAGTTACAAACATTAATAACTAGTCAGAATGATGTGAGAGGCAAGTGGCAGGAGAGGTGTAAAGAAGTGGTCTTTAGGGTGGAAGCTGAAGCGAGGAGCACTCACTGGCCCGCAAGAAAGAACAGAGAGAGCTTGGTTTCCTTTGAGGACAGAAAGGTGGCGCTACGAGGCTGCAGCTGCGCACTCAGGCCATGCAAGGGAGCTCAGAGACGGTTGGAAGAGCTGTTGAGATTGGATCCTGATCTGCAACGAAGGGATACCATCCACTGATGTAACCCTAACATCACTCAGCAAATAGTTGTCTGCCTGCACTATTCAATATTGTACAGTGGTACCTCGGTTTACGAACTTAGGATTTTGGGGAAGATGGCTGTTTGAGCCACATCCCTAGCCTTTTTTTTTTTTTTCCCCTGTATTTTAGGGAAGGGTCTACAGGGTGTTCAGGGCCTCACTACTATATCGGACCCATGTGATCCGCCTGCTTACAGCCTCCAAAGAGCTGGGATTACAGGCGCGCGCCACCATGCCCAGTCTCAATTGCTGGCTCAGTGTGCCTTGGGTGCAGGGCCAGCACGGCAGGCCTGGGGATGGAACCCCTGGCCCCTGCACCTGCTTGCAGGTGCTTTTAATCCACTGAGCTATTTTGTCAGCCTTTCTACCCTTTTTAAAAACTACTTATTTTGAGGCAGTATCTCACTAAGGATGCAGGGTTAGTGCTGCTCAGCTGGGAGCCGCAGCAGCTCTGGGCGCTGCCCACTGTGGTCAGCAGGTTTCGCTTTCTGTGGCACATATGACACAAATACGGGCTGCTCAGATACTGACAGGGTGCTCTGAGGGCTAAGAATGAGGAAACCGACCTTTCTGGAAAAGTTGTATCTACATTTAAGTCCAGCCCCCTCAGATCTTAGGACATTCAGAACATATACCTGAGAAGAGAACTACAGTAGTCCATTGCTGTTTCGCAGTTTGGCTTTCATGGACTCACTGTTTCACGGGTTTTCAAAAACAATACTAAATTTATCATGCATTTTTCGCTATATTGTGGAATTTTGCAGTACCATACAGTATACATGTTAAAATTATGTAGGTTTACAAGTTTAGAAAATGATTAAGAACGTTAGAAAAGTTTTTAAAGGTGTGGGGTTTATAAAGCCTTAAAATATAAATAAATATTAAAATATAATGCTACTTCACTGATTTTCACTTACCACAGGGGTGTCTGGAATGTAACCGCCATGATAAGGAGGGACCACTGTACTTTTATTGCTACAAATTTGAGACAGGCTGTTAGCATCATCCCTCTTCTCTTGGACAACAGAAATGAACAAGTAAGGCAAAGGCAAAGTCTTCACACAAAGCCAGTGAGTTCAGCTTTAGTACTTAAATCGAAGAACTGCCCGGCCCTAAACCCTGCTGTCCTAGCATCTGCAGGACTCGATGGCAGCTCCCCAGTTCTGTGCTCTAACCTTCCCCACTAACTTCCGTAAAAGGAGGGCACCCTTGTTACCTTGGTTACTGATTCTGTGTGAAGCAAAGAAAGACACAGAATACTCAAAGACTAAACATGAATCAAAATACTGATATGACCATAAATATTTTTATTAAATGTGAAAATACACGGGCATTAAAAAATAGTACCCATATTTGTAGACATGTCTGAGACCTAATTCAAATTTTAGATTCCTTTATTACAACACTAAATTGAGATGGACTAAGTCTTTTCTCATTCAAAACAAACCTCAGGGTAAGAGGAATAATTCAACTTCTCAACCATCTTCGGTTTTCACCTCCTCTCTGCTCTGCTTTCTTCTGCAGGTAAATGTTTCATCCACAGATGAATGTACACGAAGCCACGCAGTGGCTAATTTTATGCTTAAATCATTCAACAGAGATCTGAAAAAATTATTCCCACCTCTTCATAACATTTAAAATTACAGAATCCTGCCATTAACAGAAAAGGAATGATCTGACCCACAGTGAAGATATTAGTTGATAAATTAGCATTTGTCTTCTTCCTTTATAAACATGGAAAAGTCAACCATATTCAGTAAGGTTGCGTTCATCTGCCTAGGTTACCCTGATGTGTATGCATGGAACATTTTACAAGGCCCAGCCCCACTTCCATGTGTCTGTCGGCTCCAAGAGGCCTGACTGAAGAGCCATTTTTTTAACTTCTACCTCTTACAAACTTTCTTCATGGTAAACACCCAAGTACAACCTCATGCCTTTAAACCTGAAAGTTTTCACTTCCTGCCAGAAACAAAAAATGGGCCCCATTTTAAATTGTGACCCTGTTGGCCTTCTTAAAACATGGTTATATCATTTTTTTTAAAATCATGTGTAGGTTTTAGATCCTACTATCAGAACTCCAATTTGTTTTCATACTGATACACTAAAAACATTTTAAATTAACGCATTAGTTCCAACTGCTACTTAATTGTTATTTTCCAGTTTTTATCTATTTATTCATAGTAAGAAAGCACAAGCTTTTAGAACGGAGGATTGAATTAGGACCTTCTGTATAAGGCTTAAAACTGACATGTTTTCCCAGCTCTTGGGAGGCTGTAAACAGGAGGATCACTGAGTCCAATCTAGTAGTGAGACCCTGAACACCCTATAGACCCTTCCCTAAAATACAAAACAACCAACTGATGTGTTTAACACTTCCTGCCCTGGCAACACCTGTGACACTCGCCACCCCAGACACCCCCACCCCCACAGTGCTTAGGAACGGAGTGGAACACAGCTAAGGCTAGGCCAACTCTCCTGCTCTAATTTTTCTCAGAAGAGCCACAAAGGTTACCTTCACCTGCAATCCCCAAAGTGGACTGGCATGTGAAAGGTAGACTAAAAAAAAAAAAAAACAACAACAACGTAAAATGCTTTCCTGGTAATGTATTTTTACATTGCATATGTCAGGTAGGTGGGGGGAATGATGGTTCTATCCCTTCACACATTCATAGTTTTTCTCAGTACTGTTTAAGGGAAGCACAGAGGAACCATCCTCCCTTGTGGTGGGCAGCAGCAGACTACCAGTGGCCCTCCAGGCTGGAACTTAAGACCACTACTCATTCATCAGCACAGCAATGGCCAGAGACGTCCTTCCTCTCCGTGCTGTTGGCACTTGGCACCAAAGCAACTTCTTCTCACTGAAACAGGCCTGTGTACATGAAGCCACGCAGTGGCTCTCTGCACATTTTCATAAATCCACAGTAATTTTGTTACAAGTGAAAAAATACCAATGCAAAAACTGCCTGGGCAGCAAGTTGGGAACCGCCAAGGCCTAGGAGCCCTCCCCTATGGCCTGGCCCTCACCAGCCCAGACCCTTCTCTGCTCCTCCCTAAGGTAAGGGTGAGTATCCAGTTTGCTTTGTTCTCATATATAGAAATTTACTTTTAAATGCATGTAGAGGCCATTACTGTATTTCAAAGAGGTTCACAGGGACATGTGCAGAAAGAACCAGATTCTGAATATACATTGCTAACATACTTAGTGAGGTAATGAGATACTAACATTGAAGAACGAAGATGAATTTACTTGCAATTTGAGCCACTAAAACAAACTGCAAGCTCAGCCACTAGTTTTCAAAATGCACTGTTAAGTTTATTGGTAAGAAAGATTCCTACATAGAAGCAAAAAGCACTTAAGTGCTTTGCTGAATTATACGATTGTGTCCATCAGTTAAAATTTTTTTCTGCAAATATTTAAGGGTATAGCTACAGAAGAAAACAATATATGCTTGGCTTCTGTAGCCTTTCATGGGCAGTATGCCTCGGTGAATTGAAATCTTTGATTTCATAAAACCAATACATTAGATCTTTTAATGCTTAAAATGTTTCAAAAAGCTTCAACGCAAAAATAAAAACCTTTCTAGAATAAAGGTAATAGTTTTATCCAAAGTAATTATCATAGATTTTAAATGCAGCATCAGTAGTTCCATAAGTACTCAAAAACTTGATTTAATAACACTTTTTTTAGGGCAGAATCATCCAAGATGCAAAGACTGAACAGTGCGTTTTCTAGAGAGTTACTTCTTCACAAGAAACAGAAAGGTATCTCGGAGGAAATGACACACAGCCAGAGCTGCCCGGTGCTCAAGTCTGTCCTTCCTCTTGGGCGGGAACCCGCCTCTCAGCCTCCAGGCTGGCTGAGGGCGGCTCTGCCCTGTGCACTAGGGACAGCTCCCAGGGGAAGCTGCTACAGCCCAGGGAAGAGCCACAGAGAAGCTGCCCTACTGTACTGCCTGAATGCAAGGATCTCAGCACTGTGTGTCTCTGTTCACTGAGCAACTTGAAATTTCTAACCCAGTTTTGTTACGGGACATCCTATACAACACAACTCAGAACTTGGGTTGCTTAAAAAGTACTTCAAACTGAACTTCAGCAATATTACTTAAATAATACCACAGCTATACTATCTGAACCTGTTTTACTTATTACTTTTAGTTAACTTCTTCTGTTCATTGAGTAGTAAACAAAAGGGCCCATAGTTTTGCAAGAGAATTTGTTAAGCTGGTATTCTTCTCTAGGTACCAACCACCCCCCAGAATTTGCTTAGCATTGCTCCTCGGCCTACACCTGGACATGGTAACTGGCACCGGTAGCAAGTTTCCTAAAACAAGGACTCTGCCCCTCCTCACTGACAGTCACGCTGATGCTGGTGCAGAGGCTTGTGTGGTAAAGGCGGTGCAATAACTTAACACTTACAAGTGGCCAGGCACACCCAAACCGAAGCCCAGTTGTCCCTAAGAAAGTACATATTCTCCTGAAGAATACTGTGACACAGCCTGTTCTTGTAAAGACGACAGCTCCTCCATGCAGGCATTACGCCAGGCTGGGAAGAAGAACCTCTGCGCAGGTGCATCCTTGAGCACTTCCCCAGGCGCGTCGCTTCCAGGCACCTCCAGACACTGATGAAATGTGCGTGGGCTGCTCTGCCAGCAGGACTACCCCTCACCTCCCTGCTGTCGCAAAGCCATTAAACTTGGTCTAAAGTGGACTTTTCCCATTAAAACAACTCTTTGGTCATGGACAAAGATTTGAAATTTGTTTTCATTGAGATCCCAGTACAAGGTTTTGTTTTTAATCTTTAAAAAATTAAGGAAGAAGAGCAGAAAAACAGTTGGTTTAATTGAAGTGGAATTTAAATCTAAATGGTCCTCCTGAACTGAAAGGATTGAACCCTTGCCATGAGTTCCAGCTTCTGTGAAAAGGGTTGCCACCTCCTCCTCCTTGCTGGCTTTCCGCATCCAGAGGATCTTCTCCATCATCAAACTTCTTCCTCATTTCTAGAAAAGAAGTGAGCACAGTAAGATGCAGGCGTTAACTAAGGAGGCCTGCAGTGACTGCTGCGGAGACCAGGGAAAATTGTACCTGATGAAGGACCCATGCATGTCACACTTGAGTGCCCAAAGGCACTAAGTCTGCCAGGGAACAGCAGCTCATCAGCACCTGGCCCCTCGTACATGATGAGCTCTGGAGAGCCTCACCGCTCATCAAAACAGCATTAAGTGTCCTCAGAGAGGAGGCTCACCATCCTCTCCCAGGGCTGGAGTTCCGCCAGCGGATCTCGGCACTGAGCAGAGAACGCAGCAGGGATGCTGTGGGGAGGGAGACAGGCCGGCACCTGCTACTGCTGGAGGGCACACCCGCTGTACTTAGCGCGCTGCTTCCCTGTCGCCGTTGCTCGCTTAGAAAGCACTTAGAACAAATGATTGTTAACTTCAACCCCACAGGACAAATGGGTGCTCAAAAAAGATTTACCAAAGGGAGAAAACTTGATTCCCTCTTTGTTGTATCTGTTAGGATCACACCAGGGATTTTGCTCCCACTGACACAGGCCACAAAAATCCGAAGTACCAGCTTATCACTGAACTTCACCCAGAGACGGCAGAACTTAGTCTTTCTCAGAACACAGACCAACCAGTATACCAAGTGACCGCCTGTGAACACATCCAGGGGAACCCAACAGCCCTGGCTCCCTGATCCCACCCCGTCTCTGCGGAACCCCCCCAGCATGCTGGTTTCCTTGCCATGGTCCCAGGACTTTGGTACGGAGAACTCATCATTGATCTGTGAGTCAGCCAAGAGCCTGAGCCTGTGTTAAACTCAGTGTTGTGTTCTCATGTCACAGGCACAAGCCCGGGGGCCTACACAAGTTGTAACCTCTTCAGGTGGACACGAGTCATGGGGCCTTCTGACTTCACATCGGATTTTGCCTTCATTGCACCATGTATCTGCAAGTCCTCAGTCAGAGCAGACAAAGCTGGGGCTGTGCAGCTGCAGGCCGAGGAGGGGTAGGCACGGCCCTCACAGTCCGCAGTGGCACCACCCGCTGCCCTCTGCACAGGGCTGTCTCCCAGACAGACCACGGGTAGGAAAGCTAGTAAGTCACGGTCTGCTATTGCAAGAGAAGAGAAAAATGCTAAAGCTAAATAATACCTGGATCTGAGAGGACTTCTTTAGCAGCTGCTATGTCAATGAATTTTTTCTCAGCTTTCTTCTTTTCTTCTTCATTCTGAAAGTTATCTGGGTGCCACTGCAGCGCTAACTTTCGGTATGCTTTAATAATTTCTTGCTTTTTGGCATTTCTGAAGAGTAAAATTTAGCATTAATTAAGCATCCAAAGTACTGCCATGAAAATCAGAAGAATTAAGTTAAGATCTCACTGCAAGGGCCAGAGAGGTGGTTCTGTAGAATAAGCGTTTCCCTGGCAAGAGCAAGGGTCTGAGCTCAGTCCCTGGTTCCGAAAAAAAAAAAAAAAAACGATCTCACTGCAAACAGCAACCCAGTTTTCCTAATAGTTCTGATAAATGTGATAGATTTCTAGAAAATCATTAAAGTCAACCAGGCTTCCATAGACATTTGAGCGCTAAGTATCTTAGCGTGAATAAAGTACTGACCTTTACAACTTTGCTTTTCTGAATTGTAATCTACTATGATTTAGTTCTTTCTTCACATTAAGACTTTCTGAACACTTTTTGTCTTCTTTACTTTGGGATCAGTTTACTGAAGAACAGGTTCAGATTTCTGGATTGAAAGTTGATAGCTTACTTGGTCAGGGAATATGGGTCTTACAATAAAAGCACAACTTTTATTTTTAGGCAGAGGGGAAGATTTTTCTTTTCCTCTTCCCTTCTCCCCTGTCCACCATTCCTACCAAAAGAAAGATCACTGCTGCTTCTTAACCATCCCTAAGAATCCAGGACTGATTCAGGCCACAAACTGTTACAGAATCAGTGGTCTCTATCACAGAAATTTGCCTATAACATTTCCAAAAAGCTTTATGGTGCTGTAAGATGGTTAAAATAACATGACTATAATTACAAACATAAAATGAATCAAAGAGAAAGATAAATGATTAGCTTTAAAACTTAACTAAATACAGCAATGTAAACTTTAATAATTCACCTTTTTACTCCTAAGATTTTATAATAATCCCGTTTCTGTGACTGCTTCAGTAGTCTCTGTGCTTTCTCTAGACCTTCTCGAATCTGCTGATCATTTTCATTGTGTTCCTGAGCAGCTTCATAATCCTGAATAGCTGTCAAAATATGTTTAAAATAATGTATGAGGGAGATTTATAGTTCACTGTTTTTACTTATCCTGTAAAATTAGTAACTACTGCACAGTCACCATCCTCAACTGCTTCACCACTTCTTCCTTACTGCTAAAAGCTGAAATGATATCACCTTTATAATTTTGTTCAAAAACTTGCAAAAGACAGGAAGATTCCAGTTAGTCGTTAGGTGGCCTATGGTTCCCATCCAGCAAAATGCACTGCTTTCCGTTTAGCTGCTCACCCTCTCATATGATCTCCCCGTAGTACATCCCAGTTACTTTAATATCAGTGCTTCCTACAGAGCAATTTTACCACCATGGGGACTGAGTGCTGTTACACAGTAAAGGAAGACTTGGGCAAAGAAAACCTGCATGGCCAGCAAGCACAGGCGGTATGGAAGCTGCAGAGGCCAGGCAGGGAGCAGGAGCATGCTGGCAGTCAGGGCGGCTGTCACGGGCTTACATCTGCAATGTCACCCACACCGCATCTGTTCAGAGGTGGCACTTTTAGGAGGGGACTGAATCGTGGGGGTAGGAGAGCCAGGTCACGGGGAGTGTAATTCTGGGGGGCGTATCTCCTCCCCCACTGCTCTCTCTTGTCCGTGTCTCTCTCTCTTTTTCATGTGTGTGTGCGTGTGCGTGTGTGCGCACGCGCACGCGTGCTGTGTTCTGTCTCTGTGGATATCTGACATTTTGTCCTAGCAGTGGGAAAATTAATACAATGATTGAGTTAACCACAGACCTTAAGACAGACTATAGCAAACATGACTTTTTTAAGTATCAACCCAAATAGGAAAACACATAGTCCTGATAGTTTGATGACTCTCCACAATACATCTTCACAAGTATTTTAAATATTTAGAAAGTATAAGGCATCTAGATATCTACTGCTGTACAGAAAAGCATCAACAGCACCCGAGACTCATCTGTAGAAAACCCTACCCTGGCTAATGTCTGGAAATCTATTTCATGAATGTTCCCAACATTTCTTCTCAAGAATGACTCATGATACCTCAACTGTTTGTATGAACAATTTGTTTTCTACCAAATATCCTTCAGGAGTTTACAATTTTGATCTGGACTAGGCAGAAGATGTCTTCCATCTAGGCTCTAATAAAAGCCCTGATTTTTGGATATTTAGTGAGCTTCCTTGGTATAGAAATGCCTCTTGCGCTGTGGAATTAATCTTATCCTGTGTGACCTCACAGGGAAAAGAAAAAGAACAGGAAGAAATTGGGAACCTAGCAAATGAAACTGAATATTAAAATAAATAATACAGTTAAAAATGACAACCATGTAAAACCTGTTTGCAGAAACCCATGAACACTTCAGATTAAGTCTAAGAAAAACTCTGAGATGAAACATGCTTCTCTATACTAAAAGGGCACACTAGGTGCCCAAGTACACTGATTGAGAATAGTCAGCACTAAGACAAGTCTTAGCATAATTCAGACTTAAAACCTAAAGGCTCATTGGGCAGCCAGGCAAAAATTACTAAAAACCTGGGTTTTCCAAAGCAACACTCAGTCCCAGAAAATAACAGAATAACTGCAAGATATACAGAAAGTGTGAGCAGTGAGCTTTCACTTGCCATCACACCATCCTTCAAACAAAGGCACCAACAGTTTTGAATGTAGAGAAAGTGAAGTAAACCTTCCCAAGACCACCTCAAGGAAACCAGGATGAATTTGCCAAGGGATGGCTGGAGAAACCAAGACAAAGGAGGCCTTCCCACACCGAAGCCAAGGCACATGGAACTAGGACTTCCAGGAACCAAGGAGTTCAGAGTGCCAGGACTGTAAAGCAGTGGGAAGAAGAGAAAAACAGCCACTGGTAAGTCCAATGATATCAGAGAGGCAAATCCGCTGTGAAGGAATTTTCTTAAGTAGTAGTAAAGGAACAGGGACAAAGAATGTGCTGAAGTGTTCCTCATAGTTGGAAACTAATAGGTGTTACCCAAAGAAAGAAGGCTAATAAAGCAATACAAATAACCAAGAACAAAAACACAGGCCTTCCTAAATATCAGAATAATATAGGTCCAATAGCAAAAAAAAGTTAAAAAAAAAAAAAAAAGAACACCAGAACACAGATCCAATAGCTGCCTTATGCATAAATGTGCTTAACTTCTATTTAAAAGAATGGCATACTGGAACACAGAGCAAACTCAACTCTATACATGAGACACAGCTGAAACAAAGCAATTCAAAGAGTGGAAAATAAAAGTTTGATCAAAGTCTTGTGAAGTAAATGCAAGGGAAGTCAGATTTGTGATCTAAAGAGCAGGTAACTGAGTTAAAGACCTATCACAGTGATGCATCCGTATCCACGTTCGCAGAAGTTCACAGGAGTACAACTCCTAATAGTTAAATTTTATCAGTGCGCTGTAGGCCCATCACAGGCGACGGAGCAAAGCAAATGTACTTACACTTCACTGAGTACTACCGTGCCATAAGGAAGGATAAACGAGTCATCTGCCGGAAAATCAATGCACCCTGAATCCCTAACACAAAGAGAAATAAATCAGACGCACTGCTTGCATACTGAATGATTTCTCTTATATGAGAAACCTAAAATATAAATAAAGAACAAAAAAAGACAGGTAATAGGAAATAGGGGGAGAGAGCGCGCTGGCACAGGGGAAGGGCCCAAGAGACGGGGAGGAAGAGGCCAGGCAGGAGCGCAAAGGAAGGAGGCGGCGCTGCGCGCACAGGGCAGTTCCACAGGAGCCGCAGCCGCTGCGCAGCGCACGCGTGCACTGATGAAAGCAAAAACTGAAAACGACACACAGCAAGTCAATAACATTAAAGGCTGGAAAGCACACTGAAGACATCTATCAATTATTTGTACATCGAGTTAACATTTCTGAGGTAAGAACTGTGCAAGCACTGAGGGACTTAGGCACACTAAGGAGAATTTTACTTCTTTGTTCACAATAGTTCTACTGAAGCAAAACAATATTGGAAAGAAAGATTACAGCACAAGACACAGCTGATGGATACGGCACATTTCAGCCCAGAACAAGACAGCTGTTCAATCAAAAACACTGAAATAAATTCTTAAAATCTATAGTATTCTTTGATTGTGATGTTATGATAATAAAAATAATAAACCAGAAGCAAAAAGATCTTTCATATAAGAAAGACAGCCAGGGCTGGGGAGATAGCTCAGCAGTCTAAATACCCTCTAGCAAGCTCAAGGACCCAGGCTCCGTATCTGTGGTACCAGCTGCCACACCAGCCCCAGAGTCCTGAGTGTGCCGTGCTGGCCCTGAAATGGCATGATGGCGCATGCCTGTAATCCCAGCACTCAGAGGAGACTGAGGCAGGAGGATTGCTATGGAGGAAGTAGTCCAAGACCTGCCCGGATGACACTGCAAGACCCTGGCTCAAAAAACAAAACTTCAAACAGGATTAATATAAAAGCATAAATTTAAAAATCCAGAAAGGAATGAAAAGTCAACCTTTCAGAACCTATACAACACAAATGTTGCTGAGAGGACAATTCAGGGCCTTGAGATTCAATAAAAATGGGAGGAAAATGAATTAATCATGATTCAAAGTTGGAAAACACAAATTAAAGTGAAATGCTGTGGGCCAGCCAGATAAAACACCTAAAGAGCAATCCTCCCACCTCAGCCTCCCACATGAGTGGCTACTTCTGACTCCACACGATCAGCTGCTTTATATCTTGTTGCAAGTGGAATGACATGGTCCCTCCCTTCCTAGCTCTGCCCCTCCATCTTTCATCATTTCCATGATTAAAATATAACTTAAAGGCACCTTCAACAACTGCTAGCCACAGGGAACAAAAGTTCTTAACCTGGGAGAAGACAATGAAACAGCGAGTAATACCTAAACTACTGACTCCTAATTGCTGTACTGAATTAAAGTTAACATATGTGATAAGCAAAGTTATAGCATATCAGCCCAAAAGCTGACTGGATTCCCAGGATTCCTTTTAGTGTCTACATCTGAAATAAAGGACGTTAATTACCATTCACCACAGGAAAAAATCTGACAACACAGAAGCTTCTCCTGTTTGATCAGGCGTTCATGTTTTAAAAGCTAATTTACACTAAATTAGTACATAAACCTGCCATGGATGTATTATAATTTATGCATAGCTATAACTACAACCATCAAGTAAAATAAACACGTTAGTGAAATGTGGCCATCTGCAAACTGACCGAGACTTGATGTCTAGTTGGTGTGATTTTCAAGTCCGGTATGAACTGCAGCACACAACTCGGTCCTGCAGTTACATATTTGTCATGTTTTAGTCTACTACATGGTTTTCATTTCCAGCTGCCCACAATCAGAACTCCAACTACATGGGCGGCCTGATACACCACTGGGTCAGGTATCTCACTAGCACATGACTCTCTATAAACACTATTATTTCATTCATCTAACAAGTCACACCAAAGACCAGAAATATTCTGTATATCCTAAGATTTGAGTGCTGCAATACTTAAAGATAAAACTTTTCCAGATCAGTGTGCCAATCCGTAATACTCCCCAAGACATCCTATATCTGCCTTGCCAGCTTTAGTCTGAGGATGTGAAGACATGCATCAGAGGTGAGGCCTGCCACCCTCAGAGCTCAGTCTTCATTCTCTGCCCAGAGCCGCAGGGCACCAGCTTAGCAGCTGAACCCCTCTCCTTTCCTCCTCCCTGAGCCCCATGCTCAAATTAGTGCTTCATGGTGCGGTAATACTGCCTTGGCTCATACACACTTCTGTTTGCAAACAATTCTACTGACAAACAAAAGTGTGCAAGAACATTTTGCTTCCACTGGCAAACCCCATATCAAGTAACAAATATGACTGCTGCCATCTTCTCCGTACACACCCATCCACCTTGCCCAGAGTCATAAATTCATAAACAGAGGTATCACAGTACTTACAAGGGAAATCCAGGCATTTTTCAGGCTTAGTCTCATTACATGTAAATTTTACACTTAATAAGGTTTATGAAAGTATTG